CCCCCGCCCCAACCCCCAGCCCAATTGAACCCCCACCACAAACGGCGGTCGAAAGAAGAAGAGAAAGGGTGCTTTGACCGACGCGTCCAACTACTCCATGACATCGTCATCGCTTGTGCGCACAGAACAAATGTCTCTTCTGGACGCCAGATTCGACAAGATTGAGGAGTCGTATCTGGAAGACCCAGAGGACGACATGGCTTCTATTTCCCACGCGTCAACATCTAGCGTTGTCGGACCCACGAGAAGAGACTTTGACGGAATTCTGGACGACTTCCTCGGGAGTTACACGAAACCCGGGAAGAGAACGTCTAAAAAGTCCAAGGCACAGACTGGCTTGGAACAGCTGGAAGAGATACGGAGGGAGTTGGGTCCGCCTCGCATTCGCGGTCGAAATGTGGGAAGATAGACGGCGAGAGTTGGGCAAGTGGATAATGACTTGATGAGATTTTACTAGGGATTAAACAATTGCTGTTTCTAACCTCAGTCACTGTAACCGCGGCCAGCTCGGCCACCCCTTGCCGCCCAATTTCACGTGCTGCGGTAGATTCCACGCCTACCAGCCTGTTCCGGGACACGACATGCTTTCAGCGGTAGAACCAGACCCATCAGGTGTGTCGAACCGTGCCTGTTTTGTTCAGAACTGCCTGCAACGTTCAGAATACGGTCCGGGCACCCACCATCTGTACTACCGTAATGCCGCCATTCAAAACCCCAGAGTCTGCTGTCATGCTCGTCTACCTTGTTCAAGTCCCATTTCATACCTCTTCTCCTCGTCGTCTATCATTATCAAGCTTCCTAGCCAAGGTAAACCACCGCTCACGGCCACGTTTTGCCCTTTCCAGCGTCTACGTTTTAAGGTCTGCATCTTTATCTTTCCAACATAGCCTCAAAGACACCAGCAGTCGACTCAAAACCAGTGATAAATGACAATCCCGCCCTTCAGAGCCTTTACAAGTCTTCGAGTCACGAATCGGCTATCGGCTTCTCCTAGGCAACACCCGCCACTTTGGATACTGGGAGAAGGACACGTACCGGGTATTTCCGCTGGGCTCACAAGTCTTGGATGCCGGCTGCGGAGTCGGACATGTTGCTCTCTACATGGCAAGTCACGGCCTGCGTGTGACTGCTATCGACGTAATGGATCACCACCTTGCCAAAGCGAAGCGTGACGTTGCTCAATCCGGCGATCTTGGTTCTCTCATATCAGTCAAGAAGATGGACTACCATCACCTAGAAACATTATAGTCGGGGAGTTATGACGGAGTCTACACGATGGAAACTCTTGTCCATGCGACAGATCCACTAGAGGTTCTAAAGGGCTTCTACCGCATCCTCCGACCGGGGGGGCCACGTCGCCATGCACGAATACGACTATGACTATGAGTCCGACGAAGCCATTAAGAAGACGCTGGCCAAGCTCATGAGGGAGGTCAGTGAGTATGGCGCCATGCCTACGTGGCAGCGCGCCAAGCGTGGCTACTATACGCAGCTACTTGAAGAAGCTGGCTTCATTGACGTCTAAGAGCATGGCTACTCCGAAAACGTCCGTCTAATGCTACGCTTGTTTTGGCTTTTAGCAGCTATTCCATATTACATCATCGTCTTCCTTCATCTTGAAAAGTACTTTGTCAACGCAATTAATGGTGCGCGTGGATACTATGCGCAAAAGTACAGGAGGTATGTTGCTATTAGTGCTAAGAAACCTATAACGGGGGGGGACAACCCGACAAAGAGCTAATCAGAAGGAGAAATAGCCTGCAGATCTGACGAATTAGTGGCTTTATTTAGGCCTGGAGTGTATTGCTGGCTGTTTACATGACTTGGTTGTGGTGCTTTTGGCGGGCTTTGTTGTGAATTTTCTGGCGTTTCTACAAGTCTTTCTCAAACTCTCTACATTCTTCTGCTTTGACCCAATTGCGTCGGGGTAACCGCGCTGCCTACTCATGCAGTCCTCAAGCCCCAAATATTCAAGCACATCCCAGCGAAAATACGCGACGCACGGCCTGCTCAGATAACAGTACCTTTATTCTGCTTCTTATCCACCCGGTAGTTCTTCCAAATAGCAATAGCGGGAATGCCCAGGGCAAGAATGGCGGTGGCAGAAATGGAGCCGTACCTCTGGCTTTGCCCCCAGGCGTAGTTGATGGCGTCGCGGGTGGGCGAGCCCACGGGGTACGTGACCTGGGTGAGATAGCCGCCGAGGTAGATTTTTTCCACCTGGTCGGCCATGTCTTGAGGCAGCCTGGAGCGAAGAGCTTCCGGGAAGGTGCTCGAGTAAATGGCAACAGAGACGGCGTCGCCAATGGCACCACCAATGCTGGCGAACAGATTGAGAACGGCCAGCATCATGGGGACACCGTCACGGTCGCTGGCGGCCATGACAGCCATGCTGTTGCCAATGACAATGGTGCCGCCGCCAAACGCGATGAAGATCTGGCACATGATGATGTAGCCAATGTCGGCGTCCTGTCCGCGGAAATGAATCATCAGACCGGCGCCGAGAATCATGAGCGGCAGGCCGAAGCAGAGGACAGTCCACTTGAAGTGCTTGGTGTACTTGACCCACAGACCAAAGACGACGCCCCAGAAGCAGGAGCCGACGTTGTAGATCTGCGTCATGTAGCCGGTGTCGCTGTAGCTGAGGTTGTACACGACGAGGACGAAGCTGTAAAAGTTGAGGTCCCACGAGTAGAAGCTGAAGTAGGAGAGGGCCGACATGCAACAGGCGCCCAGGACGGTCCTCTGCTTGAACAGCTCCCACCGGATAAAGTGCGTGTGGGCAAACCACTTCTCCCAAGCGGCAAAGACGGGGAAAAGCAGGATTCCGATGGTGACCATGGCGATGAAGGTGGCACTGTCGTACGTGGCGCGGTTGTAGCTGACCAGGCTGAACGGGAGCAGGAAGAGAACAAAGGCAGCCATGAGAATCACGGCGCCGACGACATCGAATTCGCGGACATAGTGGATGACGGACTGGATCACGGTTCGGCCGCTCGGCTGGTGCTTGTAGATGCCCAGGCGCTCAGCCTTCTTCTGGTAGAACTTGAAGACGACGGCCAAGGGAACAAAGACGAAGGGCTGGATGATGGCGAAGCACCCAATGGCCCAGCGCCAGGTGCTGTTCCTCAGAAAAGCCTGGGCGGCCAACGGCCCCGTGAAGGCGGTGCAGATGAAGGGCGTCGACACAAAGGAAAACGCAAAGGCGCGATTCTGCAAGCCTGACGTGTCGGCGACGAAAATGTCCAAGATGAGGTAGATGGCATCGTAGCCAATCCAGTAGAAGACATAGCCGGCGGCGTAACTGTCGGGCCCACCGCTGGATGCCAAGATGATGATGCCAAGCAGATAGACGCCGAAAAAGACAAGGTAGCCCTCGGCACGCCCCCAGATGTTGAGCGTCTTGGCGATGGGCAGCTTCAAGACTCCACCGATAATGTTGGAGAGTATAGAGGCCGTGGCGATGGCCGGCGCCGACGCGAAGTCGGCATACGCAGTGGCAGTGACGTTGAAGAGAATGGCTTGCTGGAAAGCCAGCATGAAGAAGCAAAGCCAGATCCTGCGCACAAAGCACCGCGTGAGTCTGTGAAGCTTGACGACGTCACGGACGAAAGGGCTGCTTACCACGCATAGGTGCAGTAGACCGTCTTCTTGGTCCAGACGAGGGCAGCGGCCTCGGCCTTTTGGACACCAAGCTCGGCGCTGGCCGTGACCTCCTGAGGATGCTGTTGGATTTCCCTTTCGTTCTTCTCCTCGAGGCTGGCATTGTCGGAATCGCTGGCGAAGGCCTCCTGGTCGTGGCCGGGCTTCGACTTGTCCTCAGCAGCATCTACCGATGAAAACAAGCCTGCCTGGCCGGGCGTCCGGGGATCAGCGTTCTTGGTAGTATGCATATTGGCAGCAGAAACTTGTCTCGCAGACGCACACAGCTTTGCTTCCTCTCTGCCTCGCCCAGAACGGCGCGATTGCGAGGGCCCGGGGCGAGTAAATACTCGTAGAGGCCCTGCTGCCAACCCACCACGCATGTAACCTCATCCCGGAAGACTGCAGAGAAATTCTTTCCATCTCCACAGCAGTTAGTGAGTCGTTAGTCGGCCCGTCATGGTCATGCGATTGGCCCGTCGAGGCACTGGCGTCAAAAGAGGATCTGATAAGATGGTGACGCAAGGATCATAAGAGGTAATCTGATTGCGGCCTGCCTGGGAGCAGCTTGGAACCCATCCACCACGTTTTTTGTTGCCGATTCTGCCGATAAATTGCTCTTGGCTCGCCTTTACTCGGGAATAGCGCAGAGACTCGCCTCGTAAAGGCTCTTTCTGGATCCGGCATGAAGCTGTGACTGGGCTAAATGGCCAGAATACCAATAGCGTTGTCGAGAATCGAACCTAAGATTTTACATTTTGCTTTTCTCCAGCCATCTTGGCTTGTCAGCAGCTGGCCCAGCATTTGGCTCTGGCCGGGGTATGCTGGTCATCCTGTGTGATCCCTCTTCAGCTGCGAGCTGTTGGCCTTTCGGGAAATTAGTCACATATCCATACGTAGCGCACTCACAGCAAACGGGACTACCGACCAGTTAAGTGTGATGAAAATGGTTTAGTCGGCTCACTTTTATCTTCCGTGAGCCTTGTGCCTGGACTCCACCCACTTTGATGATGCAAAGGCTAAAAAAGAGGTGGTTGGTGATGTTGAGCTCGATCACGTGACGAGAATTTAGCAGCTTCACAGCTCTCTCTGGTAGGTACCTAGTAGTTAGTTACATACCTAAGTAAGCACTTGAGTACCTAGGTATGTACGGAGTAGGCAAAGCGGATTCAATTGGTGGCCGACGTAGAGTGAAAACGGCGCGTTGGCAAGTAACCGGAGCTGGCTGAAGCTTCCCGCCTTGCCGCTTTAATTTGATGAGCTATGAGGCCGCCCCAAGGCATCTCATTACTAGGCAGTTAAAAATGAAATACTCTTTTCTCCGTAGGAACTGGTTACTAAAAAAAGTGGCTTATGCTAATCACGTGGAGCATCGTGAGCGCCGTGAAATTTTTGGGTCAAAAAGGTGATATTCAGAGACTCACAGTAGAGCTCGGATTGAGGGTCACGGCAGGGGACTTCAGGTGCTCCAACAGGGTCAAGTATAAAAGGGCACCTGGGGTCAATTTTCAGGGTTTTCACTGTATTTAGCAGAGATCTTCATCTATCGTCAATTCATCAAATTCGTTCAATTGAGGCCTCCAAAAGCCTCCCCAATAACCGCCTTTTCCGCCATGTAAATTGCTATTTTATTACCAACAGTTGTGTACGGAGTAAGACGGAGGAGAATGTTGATGGGCTAATTCCAAAAAACTCTGCATGGTGTACCAAACCCTCCCGAACATGGCTTCCCTCGTATCGCAACCATGTAATTAATCAGAGAATAAAGTTTATTTGAAAAATTTTCAAAAAGAATTGCACTATCCCAACGCCAATCACACAGCCCAAATTCACTCTGTTTCTGGGTGTGTAAATCGCTGTTGTATTTCCAACAGAAATACGCACCAGACATACAATGTTAATATCAAAAGCCTGTAGCAGGCCTCCCCCGGCAGAAATAAATTACAGAACTAGTAAGGCTTCAATGTTGACTCTCTCCAGTCCGCTTAGCCTACCCATAGGTTAATACTTTGTTGACACCAGGGTCTTCTTTACTCTAACAGGTGGCTTTTTTATCTAAAATAGCTTAACATAACCCTACATTCTTGGCCTTATCACTACATACTCTACTGTTGTGTACAAAGAAGTTCAATTTGGCTGCGCGGTAAAAAACAGATTAGCCGGGATTTTGTTCAAGTAGGTGCTTTTGAATTGTCTATCTGAACCTATGAAAGCGATAAGAAACGCGAGCGCGAGCTAACCCTTGAGCTTGCGTAACTGAATTGCCCTACAGTAACTTGAGCGAAATTCATCTGATTAGACAAAATGACGGACTACTCTGGCACCAAAGCTCCAGGTTCAGTGTCACCGAAATTGAAGCATGTTCAATATTAGGTATCCCTGATTGAATTTCGGCGTTGGGGGATCCTTTAAATCTTAAATATAAGGTGATACCTCATCCGTCATCCGTCATAGATTATACAAACTCCGAATGAGATCTACAAACCAAGTCAGGTATAATAACTCTACTTACTATTAAGCTTTACGCGCTCAGTTTCATCACGGAACCCGAAATATGGCGCGCAAGATTCGGGATTCCGAAGCAGACTGTCACGGGCTATTCTAGAGCTTGTGGGCCATTCTAATGTGTAAGTTGGATTTCATCATTTTGTCCAAGTTGCCGAAGTCCAAGAATCCAAATATACTCAGCTAAGACACCGGCCTTATCCTCCGTCGGGCTAGATCCAAATTCCACATTGCATTTGAGGTCAACGTCTAGACCCGCCTCCATGAGGCGTCATCATCCGTCGAGGACTTAAAGAGTAGCGTATGGCCTGAAGCGCACCCCAACACAACCCTATGTCTCTCCACATGTGAGCAGACGGGTGCGTACTAGGCTTGGATGAAGATAAACTTCTTGTTCTTCCATGTAATATACCAGCTCTCGTCATCGTGGCTGTAGCTGGTGCCGTACGGATGTCGCGGTGGTGCCAATGACCGTGGCTGCCGTGTTTCGGGCTCGACAGGTGGGTGCCCTGAAGGAGAGGCCCCCGGGCTGCATATGAGAGGCAGAGCGCCGTACACGTTCATCACGTAGTCGGTGGACATGCCATCGAACCACAGTGTCTGCAAGCACGGCTTTGCGGTCTTCATTGGTGGTCCCTCGAACTTCCCCGTCTGCACATCCGATATCCGCACCCCATAGCGGCCCCCATATTCGTCTGACAAGAGAATCCTGCCTCGAGTCTGGGTGAAAGAGGACGGCACCAAAGCAAGCGGGGTTTGAGTCCATTTTAATCTCTTCTTTCCATGTTTAGGAGCCCGACTCGCGCTCCCAGACCTGCACCGTGTCTCCGCAGGAGGCGAGGTACCGCCCATCGGAGGAGAAAGCGACGGCCCGGGCGTAGCCTTTGTGATTTCGCAGGATCTCCGGAAATCTCCCTCTCTGCTTTACAAGTCTCAGACGCGGACAGTGGAGTCGTCTGACGCTGATGCTATGAATTGCCCGTCTGGCTTGAACAGTGCACACCGAACCCCGGCCGCGTGGCCGGAAAACGAGCGCCATAACTTCCCACTAGCTACATGATAGACCCGGACGGCTGCATCGTCGGAAACAGACGCTAATTTCCCTGTCCATCGTGCGAGAAGCCGATCGAGTTCACCCTGTCGTGGTGTCCCATGCGCCCGGCCCTGCGCAGTCGCTTGCCTGTCTCGCCGTCCCAAAGGTGGATAGTGCCGTCCGTCATGGCAGACGCCACGAAGCGGCCGTCGAGGAAGACAGTTAGTGCACAGATGCGGTGGGCATGGGATGGGAGACTGTCTGCGGCTTTCTCTGCTTCGTCGACGCTTGTCCGTTCCCCGAGCTCGTCGTACCAGAGCTGGATCGTGGAACCCTGGGAGCACGAAGCCAAATACGGACCCTGTGGCGAGAAAGCGACCGATGTTACGCAATCCGTGTGCCCACGAAGCTTCTGGGTGACCTCCCCCTTCTTGTAATCCCATACGACAATGATGCAACTGCTACTGGCTGTTGCCAGTCGAGAACCATCGTGCGAGAACGCAAGAGATAAAACATAGTCGCCGGACCATGATAGCTTTCGAATCTCATCGCCTGTTTTGGCATCCCAAACTCGGATAGTTTTGTCGCTTGAGCCAGAGGCGATGCGATGGCCTATAGGGAAGAAGGCAACGCAACGGATGGCCTCCTCGTGGCCTTCGAGGGTTTGGAGAAGCGCGCAAGTGTACCCATTCCAAATTTTTGTCATCTCCGCCCGACACTAAGAATGTCCCGCCAGGCGAGAACACAACGTTCCTAATATAGTTTACGTGTGCTTTGAACTTCAGAAGCTCAGGTTTATCCGCACTGAGATCCCAGACATACAAGCTTCGAACAGAGGCCGCCACGAGCTTTTTGCCATCCGGCGTGAAGCTGACGGCATTCACGTGCCCTGAATGGCCAGAGAGGATTCCGTCGGGGCGCCCAGTTATGGCATCCCAGGGCCTCGGGGTTGAGTCGGCCCTCCCGATGCCACAAGACCAGTGCGAGAGAAGGCCAGGCAGGATACCGGCCGCAGAGAGTATGCTGTGCCCTCCCTGCCTGGGCGTCCCAGATGCGGACCGTCATGTCATCCGAGCAGGAGGCCAACGTCGTCGACTTTAACTCGACTTTGGCCCGAGAGACACTTGCGGCTTCCGTGCTGGGTGCCATGCCAGACAAGCTGCCAAAAACGCCTCGGTTACTGTCATGTCCATCAAGATGGGGTGCCTCTTATTGGCCCTGTTTGGCATGTTGGCTACTCTTGGAAAGGGAACTTGAGCTTCATCTTGTCTTTGATGATTTTGTCGTTCAACGACGAGGATTAGATCGTTGACCAGAAATCCTATTGCGTGAATACTTGAAGGATGGATGTGAGAGACGGACGCTATATCCTGTGGGAGATGGAGACGGCCGCAGAAGGCCCAAGGCTGCCCGATGGGCAGACGATGGTGTGCTCGCCTGCTCCCATGTCCGCCCGCACATGCATACAGGCAGCAATGACAGCGGTTCGTAGCAAAAGGATTGATTAGAGGTCCAAGTTCTTCTTTGTGAGGCTGCCACCCCAGAAACTAGCCATCACAGCCACACCTGCCCCAATCGGGGAGGAGCGACTCACGGCCCCAACCTGCCAGCGGCACAACCGCAGGCGGGTACCTGCCGGTCGAGGTGCTTGCACAATGGCCATGAAGGGGCTAAGGTCCTCAAGCTTGCATATCAGTACTAATTCTAGAGTATCAATGATACGCTGCAGGTATGGACTATGTCATGGATACCTTCCACTAGTCGAAATTAAAGCCAGAACTTGGGGTAGAAAATGTCACATCTAGAGAATTAGTCTTACCTTTCAATCTTTGAGGCATGTTTCAAATCTTCTAGATTCCTATCATTAGGCTTCATCATGAGGCGAGTCTGACGAGAAGGTCGAGGAGACGAGCGGGTACGGTAGCACAGCGGGCTTTGATGAGTTTTGTAAGGTCGACTAGATGTCAGCGTCAAGAAGAGCAGGCAGCGCAGGAAGCGCACCCTTACCCGCAAGCACTTTAACCAGGGCCCGACGGACCGGCTTATTGACGAAAGACGTCCGCGTCTACGACGTCAAGTGGTTTAGACGAGTGCGGTGCTAATATAATGAAGAAAATAGATAAGAATAAACAGGGAGATCTGGCCGTGAAGGGCAAGTTGACCAAGTTGCTGGATCTGAATCAGGATGCATTACTAGGCCTTGACCCAGTACAGCCTCTGGCTCTAAAAACCTAACCCTCTCAATTAAATAGAAATTTGGAATTTTATTACTGGCTGTTTTCTCAATGCACTTGGCATAAAACATAATAAATTAGCGGCGAAGTTATAGCTTTATCAAAAGCTAAAGATTTAAATTTCAGCCCCGTACCTTCTGACCCCTAGCGTACTCAACGCAGCTTGCTGCGAACCTCCAGTAACAGCACATAGTGTCACGTGAGTCAAGCTGTGGTGGGTTCTTCGAAGATCAACCCGGAGCCTCTGAATAGCTTCTCCGCGACATCAAGACTAAACATCTGCCTGCGCGCCCGAACTGCCTTCAACATCCGCGTCCGGGCGCCCGAGAGTCTCCCTCGATGTGCAAGCCGACAACATAGGTGCATGCGACGTTCGTTGCATCGTCGAACCAAATGTTTTCGTCTCTCGCCCAAGGGACGCGTAGTTCGGCGCCAGTGGTCAACCCTTTCGCCCCAACCCCGAACACGGGCGGGAAGAATCCATTCAGCACCGATGTTGCAGCCGGCTCAACGAAAGACGAGCGCAGAGCGAGACCTAATCCGTTTCAAACGACTGACAGCAACCTGAGTGATGGTGGTGCTAAGCAACAAGCCAGACGCAGTCCATTTGATACCGGCGGGAAAAAGCCCAAAGGCAAAGGCAGATCCCGCCAACATAAAGCAGAAAATCAGAATGGATTACTTCAGCCACCACAGCCAGATGGCCAAGACTCGCGAGCCATGTCGCCTTCGAGCGCTTTATCTGACGAAATGAGCGATGAACCTGTTCCCGTCATTCCGTACAACTCGACAGATGCTCTGGCCCGGAAGGTCTATGACCGGCTACGCAAAGATGGCATTGGCCCACCTTCTTGGCCGTCGCAGCCAGGAAATCCGAAAAATAAACAAGCAATGGCGAAATTCCGCGAGCAGTATGAAACGTATCGCAAAAGGGTCAGAGCGTCTCTGACCAAGGCCGGGTTGATCGATGACCCCGAGAAACGAAAAGCGCTGAGCGATGCCATCGAATTCAAGGGTATCTGCGAAGATATGTGTCCAGAGTTCGAGAAGATTACGAGGATTACAGAGCTGGACGTGGTCCAACCAGAGAAGGATCCCCGGACTTCATATGCGGACACGACCAAAATGGTGAAGAAGCTGGCTCGGTCAGCCGCTGGTCAAGAAGCTCCCCTTCCCATGGACGTCCGCTCTGTTCCGGCCCTGCGCCGGACTTTGGATTATCTTCTAGACGAGCTGCTGCGGAATGATGAAAACTTAGCAGCAGTGCACGGCTTTCTCTGGGATCGCACGCGCGCCATTCGCCGGGATTTTTCGTTTTTCTCGTCGCTTACGCCCGAGGAGATAAAAACCCAGGTATACGTGTTGGAGAATATTTCAAGATTTCATGTCACATCCTTGCATTTACTATCACAGGCAGGCAAGGCACCCGAGGATTTCGTCCAACAACAAGAGCTGGAGCAGCTTGGCAAAGCCCTCTTATCACTTAGAGACGTTTACGATGACTGCAACGAACAAGGGATTGAATGCGAGAACGAACCAGAATTTCGAGCATACTATCTGGTTTTCCACGCGCGCGACCCGAGCATCCTAGAAACCCTCCAACGACAGTGGAAGTCAGCTCTTTGGCGCGACTCAGACGAGGTCAGAACCGCAGTCTCATTGGTCGAAGCACTCCAAGATACGCACGATTTCCATGGACCGCTAAAAGATGGACCTTCACTAGCCGCCTCGGCAGCCTCACAAGCATATTTCCGGATTGTTCGAGATCCAAAGGTCTCGTATACCATGGCATGCTTTGCGGAATGCCACTTTCCTCAGCTCCGAAGATCAATATTGCAAACCATCAAGCGCGCACTTGCGAGACCAAAGGACTCAGCTAAGGATGTAACGGCAGCAGCACTTAACAAGTTTCTGCAATTCGACACCGTGGAGCAGGCTATCGACTTTGCCGAACTCCATAACTTGGAATTCGTTCAAGATCCCGACAGGCCGTTTGACATTGAACGGAAGATTTTGATTCTCGACAGCAAACAGCCGCTTCCTCACCGCCGGTTGCAGCATCAGTTTTCGCAGGCGTTGGTGGAACGAAAACGAGGCCCAGTACCACTTCCTGAAGTGATACATCGCACTGTTTTTGAAGATCCCAATGCTGCAGTCAAAGTCAATGGGCTGGGGACTGAGGGTAGTCTTTTTGTACAGGACGACGAACCCCAGTCACAAGCGAAACCAAATATTGGCGGGTTCGGGCTCACAACGGGTGGTGCACCTGCAGCTACATCCACAGCCTCGCCATTTGGACGGATTGGGGCGACTCCCAATGCTCAACAAGGTCTGATTTTTCATTCACCACGGAGAAGTTGCACGCCTAAAAGTACATTACTAACAGAAAATTGTCAGCCTCGACCCCGTTTGGCGCTTTTGATAATTCGCAGTCTAATACTACCAAAAATCCCTTTGCTCCGGTGTCGACGCCTCGAGCTGGTACCCAATCCAATCCCTTTGCAACCAGCGGGTCAACACCTGCACTGTTTGCATCAAAGACCAATGGCGATGGGGATAAAGCCCAACCCGTGTTTGGAAATGGTGCTACTACGAACCCATTCGCACCAGCATCACCAGCCATTGATAAGCCTGCAATAGTAGGAAGCAAACCAAGTTTCCCATCCACGGCACCAAACCCGCTTTTGTCAAACAGTAGTGCCGGCACTCAAGGCGTCAATCCTTTCTCTTCTGGGCTGCTGGATGTGCCGAAACCAATACAAGATGCTACCAAGCCGACACCAGTGTCCTCTATGCCGCCTCCTCCGCTCCCACAGCCCAAAGCATTGCCTAGTACGTCAGACGGTGTCAAACAAAATTTCGATTCCTCAGCTTCATCACAAGCAAAGCCAGCCACTTTTGGGGTTGGCGGCTTCCAATCCAGTCTGTCTCTTGAGAACCAGGGTTCGGGCAATGCCGTTACCAAGGCTTCAGATGGCACTCCAGATACCGCGAAACAACCCAACACTCCGGGGTCGCAAACATCGTCAACGACTGGCCTTGGCGGAGCTTTGTCGCCGGCAATTTCGACTCTGACAGCTGACAAGCCTCCTTTTCCTGCCTCGAAATCATCGTCAAGCGCGTCCGGCCCAACCGTACCCAGTGGCGTGCTTCATGTGCCGTCCCCATCCGGAGAACCTGGCGAGAAACCCGTACCTTTTCCGAGCAGTGCAGAGTCGAGAGCTCCAGCTGTGGCTACGCCACCCAAACCTGCTGAGAAACCCCGAGACCTGCTTGGCGACTTTACAAGGTGGTTTGTTATGGGCGACAATGGCTTACTCGATCAATTTCAAGTGTACATGGTTGATAAACTTGCTAGAGAGACATTTGATAAATTCCAACAGGAAGTGGAAGAAAACCGAAGAAGGGAAGAGGAGGAAGCCATAAACAAGGAAGTTGGGCAATTCCGGACATATAATCTTTCTCTCAAATACTTTTACCGCTGGAGGCATAATGCGAGAGAGAAGCGTCTGAGTGCTCTTAGGCGAAGTGGTCGAGACCAACTTCGAGCGTTCTACGCGTCGCAACATGCTGCTGAGAGATGGGCTCGGAAAGAGGCGTCCAAGAAAGCTGCCAAGCAACGAGCGGAACTTGCCAAAGTCAATCATGCCGAAGAATTCATGGACATGTTGAAGCAAAAGGACGTGAGCAGACGGAAAGCTCGCGAGGCGCTTCTCTCCAGCGGGGTATTATCCGGCATGGGCAATGAGCATGACGCCGTCGACTCGATTGTGAGGCAAGAGTTTAGGTCTAGGACGAACTCTGTGTCTACGAGTTGCCAATCGCGAGAATCATCGCCCAACTCGAGCAGGAAGCTAGGCGGAAAGACCAAGGCATTGCGCGACCTCTACCTGGCCAAACCCGGTCGGTTCCGCCGCTCTCTGCCCTCCATATCCTCCAGGGAGAGTGAGGCCCCCGATCGTTCTAGGTCGACAAGCAACGCGTCGGCTCGGTGGAGGCTCAAAGCTATGGGCATTGTGCAGCTGCCTGATGGCACTGCCGTGCCCGAGTCCATGGCGCACGACATGATGGAACGGCCTGGCCACTACTCCAGCCTGGCATTCGGATCGACAATCAGAGACAATTCGGTTCGACGGGCTTCTGTGAGCGGGGGTGCGCAAAATCTTGAAATGTCCCGACTTGACAACATGGATGACGGATCAGCAACGAATAAGAGAAAGAGGTCATCTGAGGAGGACGTGAGTGTGGCCGAGAAGGAGGACGTCACAGCGCGTAGCAAGCATCAGCGAATCATGAGCGAGGCGGAGAAGCTCACAAGCGAACTCAAGGAAATACGGCAAGAATTGGAACAAGGACGGGAATGGTTCAGGTCTCAGAACGAGCGTCTACGGAGTGAATCGCGCGCCGAGTCTTGGTTCGACGACAGCATCTAATTTGGCGTTGGGAGGAGGATCATTTGTTTCAAATTATCTCCATGGGGAGCAAAACACGGAAAATGGGAAAAATTCAATATCACGTTTCTTTCTTTTTTTTTTTTTTTACCCCGGGACTAAATGACACGTTAAGCGGGGGTGCGCAAAATCTTGAAATGTCCCGACTTGACAACATGGATGACGGATCAGCAACGAATAAGAGAAAGAGGTCATCTGAGGAGGACGTGAGTGTGGCCGAGAAGGAGGACGTCACAGCGCGTAGCAAGCATCAGCGAATCATGAGCGAGGCGGAGAAGCTCACAAGCGAACTCAAGGAAATACGGCAAGAATTGGAACAAGGACGGGAATGGTTCAGGTCTCAGAACGAGCGTCTACGGAGTGAATCGCGCGCCGAGTCTTGGTTCGACGACAGCATCTAATTTGGCGTTGGGAGGAGGATCATTTGTTTCAAATTATCTCCATGGGGAGCAAAACACGGAAAATGGGAAAAATTCAATATCACGTTTCTTTCTTTTTTTTTTTTTTCACCCGGGCATCAATGACACGTTACCTGTCTATATTTTCTGTTGGCCGTCAAGGTCAGATACCCATAGAGTTGGATGACTTCTTGCCCCCATTGTCACCCGGGAGGTGTGTCAACCCATGTTCTTTTGATTTGGGGCCATTTACATGTCGTCATTTGTCTTTGTTCTTTTGTATAAGCGGGCATGAATGATTGTAGTACTAGTTCCACGGTCCGGAGGGGGGCAGAACCACGATGATAATGAAGTTTGTTTACGTCACGGCGTGGCGGCTTTGGCTTTACATTGGTTTTTATATTGGTGACTGACGTGACATGGAAACAAGGCGACAGCCGTTGCCGCTGGGTGTTGTCTAATTACCTCAGTGGGGAAATTACTCTTTGCTAGAAAGAAAAATACATGAATTCAAGCACACCTTCAACTTGCTACCTCGTCGGCGGCGGGTCAAAAGTGGTCTGAATCTTGGTAACGTGCACAGGGGAGCCGGGCGGCCTCCTCGCCGCGTTCCTCTCGCTATTACTCTGGAAGTGGCCGGCAAAGGATGGCGGCGAAAACGCCTTTCCGGGGCCGAGCAGCGGCGCGCTGGACCGCGGCGTGGCGTCGTCGGGCGACGAGCCGCCGGCGGTGAGGGGGCTCGCGTACGCCGGCTCCGGGGGCGGCACGGCGGTGGCGATGTTGAGGGGG